GGGCCCCCCCCCCCCCACTAAATATGGCCATCGCCCCTTGTTGAGATCTATTATTCACCAAAGTTTTCCAGAAGAGGTGAATGAATCAAATACTGGCCACCGACTCATCTGGAACATCCCTGCTGTCTTGCAGTCCGCACTTGGTTGCGCAAAGGCTAAAGTGTACCCTCGAACAAAACCTACTCTGGACTGGGCGACCGAGCAGAACAACTGCCCACGACGTCAACAATGATGAACTCTTCGATTCTTATATGCCTTCAGTGTACAATTTCTGCTCCCAGCAATGAACACTCTCGACCGTACGCACACTCACGTCCCGCCAGCCCTCCCCCACCCCACCTTCATCNCTCGGGTTATTTAGACAATCGTACTAACAGTAGTGCCTCATATGGAAACTCTACCGCTGTTCTCTCCTGTCCTACCTTGACTACTGTCCAAGTCTCACCGAATCCTCCACCAGCCCTTCTACGCCCTCGATACCCATTCCCACTAGCCACACTCTGATGCGTATAGGACAACAGACCTGTTTAGCTCGTACGCTCGAGACCTTAGCTATCAGTGTGTCGCATTGAAGACTCAATCTCCATTAGCCGATTGGCATCCTCATCAAACCCATCAATGAACTTTCACTTACGCCTCTTGGACCCCGAGGCTGCAGCTTCCACTCTTGCTGGCGTTGATGTGGCTCTCAGTGAGAGAGCTGAGGCCGCCCTCCTGAATTTGATCCTAGTCGACAGTAGGTTGTGTGCGGTGAGACTTAGAGGCTCGTGCAAAGTAAGTAGCCGTCGTCCCGATAGACGAAACCTATTTGTCCTGTCGGCGTGAGCCCCCAATGGACTGCTGCCTAGATGCAGTCAAAGATGAATATTACCATAATCTATGCGATCTCTTGCCTAAAGCGAATCGGGCTGATATTGTGGTTTTAGCAAGAGATATGAATGCTAGAGCAGGCCAACTGACTTCAAGTGAGGCGCATCTGGGAGGTCCTTTCGGATTAGATCCCTTTCACTCGGAAAACAGGGAACGGCTTTTGGCTCTGTGTTCCAACCACCGTCTATTCTTCGCCAGTACGAAGTTCAGAAGCTCCAACTGCCGTTACGCCACTTGGCGTCCGCCCTCCTCGAGTTAGCGACAAACGTAGATAGACCACATCGCGACAAACCACAAATGGCGGGGCCGCATTCAAAACTGCCGATCGTACTAGTACACTCCCTTCAAATTCGACCACGCATTAGTTTGCACCAAGCTATCCATGTGCTTCGGCGGGCGTCCTAATTATGAAGTCTCTACACCTTCTCGACGCACGCCAATCAATCTCGACCGGCAGCGAGCATAATGACATACGACATGCAACGAGTTGTAACCTAAATGTAAGCCTAGGCAGAGAACGCGAAATTTGGTGGATTCAACGCGCGTTAGGGATGGAACGTGCTGCCGCCTTGGGAAACCCCCTTAAGCTGTTCCACCTCATCCGGGTTACCGGTAGGAAAGCCTTAGGTGTGAGTGAAACTATCTGTGAAGCTAACGACTCACCCATCCATAGTCAACATGAACTTCTTGCATGCTGGGCGGAGAACTTCAAAGCACACTTTAGCTGGCCACCAGCGTTAGCTTCTAACGCAGCTATTCCGGCACACGTCCCATAATCTGTCTAAACAGACCCTCCTTTCGAGGCGGAAATTCGTAAGGAGATCCAAGCCTTGCAACGTTACAAAGCGCCGGGCTCCGATGGCCTTCCCCCAGCTCTACTTATAGATGGTGGAATAAAACTTGTTACAGAAATACGAGTTCTGTTCTCTAAAGTGTGGTACACTGTGGTACACATCCGCTCGAACTTTGACTCTGTCTAGAGGACCGCACTATGGAACTATTTGTTGAGGAATGGAGTACCTGAGAAGCATGTATCGACCCTCAAAGAGTTTTATCGTCATACCTCAAGTCGGGTTAGGGCCCAGAGCCAGCTTTCGACACCCTTCGCCGTCTCCAGTGGAGTTCGACAAGGCTGCCCCATATCCCCATTCCTTTTCAAATTTGTCATAGAGGATGTTCTACAGAATGCTTTATCCGGTCTAGCAAACGGTAGAGTCAAACTCCTCCCAGAGAACAGAGTCCTTGACTTAGAATATGCCGATGACATCGCCTTGCTGGGTGACAACACAGTCCAAGACGTCTTGAACCGCTTGGCTATCCAGGTATGGTATGTGCTTTGCGCCATCCAAATGCAAAGTGCTCGTTCAATATTGGCAGAAGCCTGTACCTGCACTCGCCCAGTGGTGATCAGCTAGTAGTTGAGAGCTTTAAGTACATCAGGAGCTTGATCGCAGCGAGTGTTGGTGTTGGGGAGCAGATCACATCACGAATAGCGAAAGCCAGAGCATCTTTCGCCAAACTGCGAAACCTGTGGCTCCGCCATGACATCTGACTGTCCCTTGAGGGAAGATGGTACACCGCCGCGGTTCGTAGCGTTCTGCTTTACGGTTGAGAAATCTGGCCTCTCCGCGTTAAGGATGCTGTATTAAACCACCGATGCCTTCGAAGCATTGCTCGTGTCTGGTGGGAACATCGGGTGAGAAATGAGAAAGTTCGTCATCGTGTGCTGGGTACTGATGGTCGTTCTCTAATCGTTCTACACCGCCTCCGTTGGCTTGGTCAAGTACTGCGTATGCCTGCCCATCGACCATCTTTTCGTGCTCTGTTTGCACGTGCTGAGCAAGACTAGAAGAAGCGCAGCGGCGGTCAGACCATGACATGGCGTAGGAGTATGGAGAAGTTAGTCTAGGCTTTGGCTTCGGTTGATACAGCCCGCCTTCCAGGTTGGAGCCCAAGGGATGAGGATTGCCGATGGTTAAAAACACAGAGATATGGCTCAGAATAGAATTCAGTGGCGTGATTTCTTTGCGGTTTGTTTGCTGAAACCCCGTTCCCCATAATAGACAAAAACTTCGAAAAATTACGGTGAAAGTATCAAGTAAAAATCATCAAGTCATTGATTTTTTCTCCCCGTTCTTTGTTTTCCCCATTTTCATTTCATCTTTCAAACACCATTATCTCTGTTTTGCGTTGGCAAGATGCTTGTTCTCAAGTTAGTGATATATAATTTGATCACTAGACTATTGAGGACCGCTTATGCAATGAACAATGTCAACAGAACTGAGCATGGTGACCGATTTATCGATTCATCTTGACATGATTCGCTTCCTTACCCGGCCGGTCGAGGTCAGTTACCGCCGGTTCGTTCGTTCTCCCTAAAGCTCAACCGATCAACAGTCAAGGACCTAAAGTTCCTGGGTGGTGGTGGGACAAACAACCAAATCCCACCCCACTCCACCGAAACTGTCATCCTCGCTCTTTGACTCACTCAAAAAGTGATTTTGTTTGTTTACGGAGAAATTAATTAATTCGGACTGGACGGTCCCATCGATGACCTTTGATAACCAAAGCATCAATTATCTTGTGGGGTTCGCAGTGAAATGCGATTGGTTGGATTCACTTGAAGTTGAAAAGGTATAGATATACGCTACGCATTGAGAATTCTGGAAAAATGGAATTTTTTAAGGTAGAGGTAATCCCCCTTCAGAAACCGTACCCAGTATGTATGTCTATTTTCAGAAACATTTCAGCTGGGAACGCTCACTAAGGACTGAGGGTACTGGACTCACCATGGTAATCGGAACGCCACGGTTGACCAATGCCACTAATTGGCCAAAATACGTTATGCGCTGTGTTCGAAGCTACGAACATCAGCCAACAATATAAAAATCTGGACGGTCAAATGGCTAGAAGCCATGTATCGTCCTGTGCAAACTGAACTGGAGAACCACATAAGGCCCCGCTTGCTCAGGCGTAATATTGAACCGGGCGACAGCACCGCTGCCTACCACCAAATTTGAATGTTGGTGCCGAGGTTCGTACCACAAGGTCCAAAGCACGCAGTTGACAGTGACTAAACCACTGCACCACCACCAATGACAAAGTGTTTAGTCTATTTTAATTTGACACGTAGAAGCAGGACGTCAGGCATTAGGAAGCTTATATGGTAGTTCAGTTTCAAATTTCGGAGCGACGCGATAATTTAGATGAGATTGAAGGCTGTCGCTGGTTAATGCAAAAATTAAAGTTCTATGTGATCGAACGTTTTAAAGTGTTCTTTACTGTTTTCTTTTGTTTTACATATAGCTCCACGCTCAAACTTGTTGATGACAGCACGGAATGAATTTTTCTGAACCTACCCGATTATCAAGCAGTCTTGCGGAGATATCTCCCAATGCACTTTATGTGGCTTCCGCGTTACAGCATAAAATCACTGTTCGTTTGAAGATTTCTTTGCAAGTCTTCCAAATATACAGTTGTGTGGACGTTGTTCAAAATTTTTCCTGGTCTCCTGATTCCTCGTTTATCTTATGTGTTTTGAAGAAGCGTGGAATTGTTCAGGTACGTTTCATGCAATGCCTTCTAATTATGCCCGAAGGTACTATCTTTAGAGAATCCTGATTGGACTTGCAAAGTTGATGAGGGTTCTGCTGGGCTATTATCAGCAGAATGGGCACCAGACAGTCGTCATTTTTTAACTGTCACTGATTTCTATTTACGAATCACCGTGTGGTCTCTTTCGGAAGTGGCGGTCTCATACTTGAAGTATGCAAAGGTAATGACTCAAAATTTTCTTTTATCATCCCATCAAATCATTAAAAGTTACTTGTTACTTCTCAGACATCAATGGAAAATCTGAATTCTTGATCTAAACCACTCTGTTAGCTTACGAAGCAGATCTCATTTTGAGTCTTGTCGATCCTTAGTGCTCAACTATCATTTTGTCTTTCTGTTATGAAGGTGAAGTGTGCATCTTCTGATTTATTCCGACTATCGGTGTATACTGAATGTTATAACTTGCCTTCTTCATGCAGGTACTGCATGGGGGTGGTGGCGTGGTGTCTGAGTCGTCATCGGCGTACTTTGAACCCTATGGTTCGAGGTTCGAGACCCGCCAGCGCCACCCGGCTTTGGTGGTAGTCAACTTTGCTGTCGTCCGGTTCACTACCACGCCTAACGTAGTGGGGCCTTAGGTGGTTCGCCAGTCCAAGTCCCGGGGCTTGGGTTACCGGTTTCCATGACGGAACAGCAAGTCTTCGTGACTATGGGGTTCACCCTGTCTGCTGTTCATCACACAAATGTGTATAATAAAAATGGGGGCTCAACAAATTTATTGTACCATCTAACTTTACTTTTCATCTTCACGGGCTATTTCAGTCCCGTTAGTTAGATTCAATGTAAAATAAATTCTTATGACGTTGTATTGTGTTTTATGTCGTGTCCTTTAATGCGGAATAAATCAGTAGGTCTTAAGTGGATCTCTAGCTGTTTCGACTTCTTGATTAACAATAACGGTCCGATTATTTCTGAGTCCTATACCCTTCTCTTCACAGCATATGCATCCATAAGGTCGGATTCAGAGGAAGCATGCTGACAACGCAACAGCAATGACTTGGAAAAGAGGGATTTGAATGCAAATGGGCATATTCAACAGAAAAAAATTTGCCGTACACTTGTTGATATCTTTTAGTCGCAATCGCGATCGCTAATAACCACTCCACCTTACCCAATCTGTTTTTCCTATGGCAGCACAGTCTGTAAATGAGTAAATAACAGATGATTATAATCTAAATCATTACATGTTACGGACGTGAGTGAATGTACGGGATAGGGAGAAGGCAACTGTTCACAAAACACTGACTATGAAAGTCGAACAGGTAGATAGAATGTACTTTATACGTGAGGCTTAACGAGACTCATTCGAGTCGTTTAGTTCAGTCCACTCTCGGATAGTTAGAGGCCGATTACCCTTGACTATTTTGGCAGTAATGATTGTGTGAAATGTGAAGCTCTTAATAAACGACTGATCAAACTCCAAGAAAGGAAGGCCTAAAGATAGGATTTGCTCAACATTGAATGAGAGTTGTACAGTGATCATGGAGAAGAAAAGCAATCGTTATGTACAGAGCGAGATGAATGAAAAGTATAAACGTAATGAACAGTAAACACGGTCGTAGCAATAACTATTTGGAGCCGCGCATTAAAATGGAGGTCTCTGTTAAATATCTTTATCACTCCTTGTGCGTTCCTCACGTATGCCTCTGTCCTGACAGTATTCTGCACACGAACAAACCGTGAACTGATTTATTTTTTATGGAGACTGTTGTACTATAACTTATTTAGTATACCGTCTGACTTTAGAAAAGTCTTAAGTATACATACCTTTCGAAAAATAATTTACTATTGATGAATAAAATCTCTCTTATTTTCATCTGAAATACTGCTCTCTCACGCAGCCATGTGCAAACAATTTGGCTTTCGCCCCCGGCGGTCGTTACCTAGCTCTTATTGAAAGACGCGAATTTCGTGACCACCTGAGCATATTTGACTGTCATGCGAATTGGGAGTTGTTGCGCAATGTTCAGTTAGACACACAAGATGCGGTGGGTCTGCGTTGGTCGCCAGACGGTCGATTTTTGGCCGTGTGGGATGATTGTCTACGCTATCGTGTGACTATCTACACTGTCGACGGTCGTCACGTTCACAGTTTTTGTGCCTACGAACCAGGACAGGATTTGCTGGGTGTCAAATCTGTTTGCTGGTCTCCATCTGGACAATTGCTAGCGATTGGCAGGTACGTCTGTAGTATATATACGACGGTTCTGTAAGCAACGGTGTTGATTTTTGTCTTTGTAGTTTGGGTAGTATAACTTGATGTTCACTTGTTCGCCGAGCTTGGCAATTGTATAGCAAACGTTTTAACACCAATCGAGACGATATTCTCAATGCAATTACGAACCCATGTCCGTGTAAACTAGTGTTCAAATTTCTCACTTACCAAGTATTCAGTCATTTTATGGTGTTGTTCACGGTGACTCCTCGCTGACAAAATTGTTGAAACTGATATCGGACTTTAAGCTTCTACTAGAAACAGGGTTCTGGTTATCGTTTGTTCTACGTTCAAATCCCCTTCGATCCACATGTCCAAAAGCATTTCAAAATCTATGATAGTGGGCATTGAGGTGTATTGGCCACCTTGGACGTTTGACCCCGTCCGAAGGGCGGATGATCCGATGAACTAGACATCGGCTCCTAGTGGACCGCGGTTTTCACACACCGTCCCGCTGCCTTGCGGATCAGGCTTTGGCTAGCCGAAGATACCGGTTGTGGATTCCTCAAGAGAGGTCATCTGGCTTGAGCAACCTGACAGTGTTCAGCCCATATGCAAATTATGGAACGCTTTTCTTTTTATAAAGATGATTTCTTTGACATGCAGTCTGGCGTCAGACGTATATATATATATATCTAGTGGAATACCGACTAAAAATGACTAATCATTGAGAGTCCCGTAATTCGGCGCAGTCACTTGATATTAAGAAGATTCTTCTGGAACATTTTCTTTAACCAGGTTGCCAACTTTGAAGAAAGATGTTTTGCAAATTCCTGTCAATCTGATTGAACGTATCCTCAGCTCCTGTAGTAGTAATGGTAATAGTAATCAGTATAGAGCTACGAGGAGTGTCCACTCGCTGGTAACGAATCACACTACTTTTTATATTAATATCAGCGATGGCATCAAATTCCTAGCAATGCTTTTATGTTCAGTTTTGGCATGCAGTCGATCTCCGACTCCTGAAGCTTATATACCAAAAGCCATATGTGAAGTTTGAGAAATACACTGGTTTTGCTACTAGTAAGATCCAGTCGAGACCCTTATATCCCTACATTTTGTCACATGTTGCACCTTGAACAGTTGTGTGAATGGTTCCTATATGGTCACTGTAACTTACCAACCGATGGAGATGATCATTAGGGCCTATGCACTGAAACTTGGACTGCTGTGGACAGGGAGCATTTTGAGTATAATGTGGAAAGGGGTGATGTACTGAGGTACATGAGGTAAGAGCTGTCTGTCATCAATGTGACCGTAGTTGAAGCTAGAGTCATACCCCAATGATTACAGTGTATGGGCCGACAGAATTGTCTTCTTGCTAGCGTGTTTAGAGTTCCAGCTTAGTGCTTACGAAACTAAGTTGAAAACTAAAATATTTTATATACGAATTTAGCTGGTAAAAGGTTTTGTGGAGAAAATTTGATAATTATAGTACTTTTCAATAACCACTATTGATATGGTGGATTTCGTCATGTGCAAGGCAAATCCTCTGTTGCTCTTATGTAATATGCAGTCAGGTTTAGGTTGTTTCCAACCGACTCATAATCCTGCAGGCTAGTGGTGAGATGCACCAGGTGTGATACATGCATCACGCTCGAGAGGATGGGTTGTCCTATATCGTGAATGGGCAAAATAAATTACAGTCTGATCAGTTGCACGGCGGTCAAGTGGCTAATATGCTTGCGTTTTACCAGCGAGGTTCCACGTTCGATCCCACACTGGGCCGATGGAGTCGCCCTGCTGACCAGGTTGAAACAGCTGTCCAGTGCTTCCTAGATTTCCTGTTCACGATTCATTTGCTCCGTACTCGATAAAATTCCCTATATAATTCAATCCAATCATCCATTACTCTTGTAAAAGTTATTTCTAACAAATAGCCGTAATTTAGTCATCCATTCAGGTTCATTGTTTACTGATTTTACTAACATCAGGTTGTGGTGAAATACCATTTATGGAAGCTTGCCCAAGGTGAGTATTTTGCCTACCTGTTTGATTGTTAGCTGTGTATTGATTACTTCTTGGTCATTTTGATTGATTGTGACATGCAACAGGAATCGTATCTGTTCTCTGCTGTTTTTTTAAATAGTAAGTAACTTCCGCTTTAGTGCGTGTTTAGTTCGATGTTTACGGTATCCTCGATCTGGGTCTACGTTATTCCCAAGCCCGTTATCAGTGAACAGGGGACCGCACCCCACCACCCAGACTTAGAACACTGTGCTCGTAGCACACAGTAACTTCCGCAAAGGCTAATCACTAAAATGATCTGGGAACTGTATTCTGATCCCCAATCCAAAAGCCTCAGTTTGGTCGAGGGTGAGTGTCTAGGGTTGCGGTTGGTCACCCTGCCCTTGCACCTCAACAAATGCTCCCATACGACCAAGCGTCTCAAACAGCCTCTGCTGAGGAAGCCCTACTCACTGCCTTCTCGTGGCGGAGGTGTTTTCCCACCAAGGTGAGAACGCGAAGAACCGATATAACCGGGTTGGCGGACCACTGGTAGTTCATCTAGGGGAATTGGACAAAAACCCTGATTCCAAACCAACCAAGAAGAGGCGTACGAACCACATCCTCCCGGTTGTGGCAGTGGCCACCGGCTCAATTTGGTATCGAGGTGTATTGGGCACTTTGGACGTTGAACTCCGTCCAAGGGGCGTATGATACGATGAACTGGACACCGGCCGGCCCAATGGATTTCGGTTTTCAAACACCGCCCGTCTGCCTTGCGGATCAGGCTTTGGCTAGGTGAAAGCTCCGGTTGTGGATTTCTCAATAAAATTCACCTGCCTTGGCCTGGACAACCTGGCAGCATGCCGCCCAAACGCAAATCATGGAACGTTTTTCTTTTTATGAAAATGATTGTACCAGTAGTGAGATTGCGGTTTCTGGGGCTATCTGACAATCATTACCGCCGAAGTCAAGTAGTTAGCTATAACAGAAACCGAGCCGTTCCTGTCGTTGGCTGCTCTCATTAGTACCAATTAACGTCGTCCACCCCAACAGACATCTATTAAAATTAGTGCTCGAAATGCCAACATCAATCTTTTGACTGTCACAGTGTGCACCGGTTGGAACTCTCGAGCCTCTCACGTCGTTTGTGTGTCAACTGTTGGATCCTGTAAACGGAGACTTGATAAAACGTTGGCGTGCTTCACATTTCAGCAATAGTAAAACTGCAAACAGTGGGATAAAGTTGCACCGTGTTTCAGTTTCTGGTTGTTCAATCACTAGCCGCGTACTGTCGTACGACGGGTTTTAGAGTTGTATTTAGTATACTCATTTAGTCAAAAAGTGCGAGCAACACTAAGGTAAATACGGTTAGATCAACCATCAGCAAGAAGTGAGTGGGTACCACTGTTCACGCATAGCCATATCACACAGCCATCGATTAAACTGATTCCAAGGTCCTCGTGTGATGTGTTTACATCTCCAACTGCACATAACGTTTGAGTCAAGCTGTTGAGGTCACTAACTTATCCTTCCGAGGTCACGTATTCTTACCTCATCACCACCACGCAACTTTCCTCATTTTGTAGTGCCGCATTGCAGTCCCTTTGTTGACCTTGTTCTACTTCTTGAGAATTGTGTGTACCATCATGTTTTCAATGAAAGGAATTAACAGAAGCAATGAATTTCTCTTTTAGTCCAACATCCTATTATACTGTGAAGATACCGTATGTGACAAGGGGATCATCAGTTTGTAAGTATTTTCAAGAAGACTGACATCAACTTCAATCAATCCCCTCCTGACGAATGTCAGACCTATAAGTCCAAGGCTCCGGTGAGATTTAATAAAGAAAAGTCTCTTATTAGTTGGTTTACAAACAGTTTTTTGATAATTGACGATGGTTCACCAACCCGGCTATAGTCCCAAATGTGGGCTTTTCGTTTTCTCACCGATGGGTAAACACTGCCACATGGAGCCAGAGAGTAGGGCTTCCTTGGCAGAACCTATTTGCGACGCTTGATCTCAAGGTGAAACTAAAGGATAACCGGTCCCCACTCACCAGGAGTATCTCGGTGGTTCCATTGGTGATAATGAACAAGCTACTTAGCTGTGACGGGCCGGCCACGGTCTTAGTCTGGACTAGCCGGCTTATATCTTTCCCGAGTTGGTGGGCGGATAGCATCCCAGTATGACACCTTGTACGGTATCGTAAGAATAGTGCTGTTGAAGTTACATACGATGTCCCGTAGACTGGACTACAAGAATGGTAATCTATTTTCGGATAAATTTCATATGTTTATTGGTCACTCGTCTGAATTTCATCTGAGGTGACCGGAATTCCGAGTCCTCACTGGTAAAATGAGGAATTCAAGGTTGAAGTACTAAAACACTGGATCCATCGACGGGGCAACCACGTCGGTCTCCTTACTATTATTGGTAAATTTGTCAAACACAGTTGGGATACAAAGAAATAACTACTTTGATCGAAGGCTATTTGGCTAATAGTGATGGCCATCCATATTCCTCCGTCCACAGTATATATATATATATATATATATATATATATGCAGACCACGGGACGTCCTCCCACAGGTGACGACATACCTTGTTCGTCATACGTGACTCGCGATTCATCCATTTACTACTGAACCAGACATCTTGCTTCGAAAAATATCACGCCCTGAATCTCAGAATCACCTGAACCTCTTGCAGCCCCTGGGCCTCATCATTTCTCATGGTGCCCCAAAATTCCACAGACGATCGGAGATCCTGCAGTGATTAACGGGGCACTCGACACCACTTCTATTCCGAATCCGGCATCGCTCCTCTTCAAGACAAGGTGATAGTTTCAGGATATCCCGAGCCTAGTACGATCAAGCAACTTAGATGTTTTCACAGCCTGATTGACTTTTATGGGTGATTTGTTACAAATTTTGCGTAATTGATGCTGTTATGCTATGTGGGAACTCTAAAATAGTCGCGTTCCTCGTGGAGGCTTGTAAAATTTTCTTCGAGCTGAGGCATCCTGTTCCGCATTAAGTTCCAGGCGCACCTTCAGCACTCATCACCGATGTCTGACGTAGCGGTGAGTAGTGTCCTTCAGCAACACAACTGACGAATGCTGTTCGCTCGTTTTACTTTCGAAAACGCTGCTTCTAGCCGAATCTTGCTGCACCAACTTTTGCCGCGGACTGCTACTTAATTATCTCATAATCCGGCGTTTTCGGGACATTCTAGAGGGCCGCTGTTTCTCGATTTTCATCGACCATAATCCACTTCGCAATCCGCTTCACTCCCATAGAGTCTGACCATCTATATTATATCGCACAGTTCAATGAGAGTTTACGACACCTCAATTGTGCATAATCCTGTCGCAGATGCTCTTTCACGTATCCAACCAATTACAGCACCAAACAGCATCGACCTCGCACAGTTTGCCGCTGTACAGCCGTTTAACCTAAAACTGGAGCTTCTTAAACACGTCAGTTCTCTTCAACTGCAGTTCGTTCACCTCGCTACTTTAGATGGCAGTAAATGATGTGACGTCTGCACGGACACACCCCTACCAATTGTGCCTCACGCGTAGAGAAAGCAGGTTTTTATTAACCTTCACAACTTTTCATGCCCGACCATTTGCGGCATGTTAAACTCGTCGTTTGGCGATACGTGTGCTCCAAAATAATCGGGACGTGTTTCACGAGCTTCGTTTGCCGGTTTTCATGTGTGAACAGTAGGTCCTCGTCTGCTGCTCACCTCATAAGAGTGTGTAATAAAAGTGGATAGTGTGTCCTGCCTTTAAATCAATAATATCAGCTCCGCAACCAAACAGAAAAGTTTCTTGTGACATTCGGCAGAACGAGATCAGTTCTTCGTCCAGCACAAGTTTGAATTAGCTTTGGTGGGTCTCCAGTTCACGCTTGTCAGATTATAGGTACACATTGAAGGCGAAATACCAATGTTTCATATTGTAGAACAATGCAGTTAGATCAGTGCTCAGATGTTGGGGCTAGATATCGTTACATGTATAACTTGCGAAGTAAGCAATCCCGTTTTGCATGTGTTCTCCAATTGGACACTAATCAACCCACTGTCAGGCAGTTTGCCCCATTGCATGATGCTTTTTGCTCGTGACGTGTGTGTAACTGTGTGTGGGTGACTTGCGTTGTCTTCCGAACGCTCTCCCAACCCTTGCTTATTTGTCAAACCCGAATGTATGTTTATACGGTTTACTCATCATATTTTGGTGTCTCATCTGACCTGCACGATGCTTTGAATAGCGTAATGCGAACAATGATCGAATCCATCTGAACCATTATTGTCCTATTCGAGCGGTTCCGGTTTCATTTTTCTGCTGTCTCCTTTTATTACACACTTTTGTGTGATGAACAGCAGACGGGGTAAACCCCATAGTCACAAGAACCTGCTGTTCAGCGATGGAAACCAGTAACCTGGGCCCCGGGACTTGGAGTGGTGAACTACATAAGGCCTCGATAGGTTAGGCGTGGTATTGAACCGGACGACAATAGAGCTGCCTACCACTAAAGTTGGGTGACGGTGGTGGGGCTTGAACCTCGGACCATTGGGTCCAAAGCACACCTGTGACAGCGACTAAACCACTACGCTATCACCATCCTGTCTGTCTTTGAATATGGCCATTTACAATGGCATTTTAGTGAAGCACACAATTGTCCGAGGGGGGGATGTACCATGAGTTGATATTTTTATTTGCATTAATAATGCATTCACGTGAAATTTGTTTCAGCCTCACAGGCTGTGACAGTAGCTACAGCGTTTGTAAGTGGACCAATATTGTTCATTATGATGAAAATACACCTACACTCCCAAGGTGGTGCACCTATATCCGCCAGACAGCTCGAATATCTGTCGTTGGTGGTGGTCAAGTAGTTTTAGTCGCTGTTGTTGGTCCGAGATTCGAATTCCACCGTCGCCTCATAACCTCGATGATAGACAGCTTCGCTGTCATCCGGCTCCATACTGTGCCTATGCCAGCGGGGCCTTATTTGGTTAACCATCCTAAGTCCCGGAGCTTAGATTGCCAGTTTCCATGAGTGAACGGTAGGTTCTTGTGATTATGAGTTTATCCCTTCTGGTGTTCATCACACCATAGTGTGACCCTTCCTTATTTAATTTATTAGTATTAGGTATTTTCCAATCTAGTTTAGTCAGCCTGATGATTTCGTTTAAACTCGCTACAGCATGCTTGTGATTTGATTAAATAATATCTCATATATCCTTTCGTTTTTCAGTGATATTTTAAGTATCATAAGAGTTTTATCGTGCACCTCAATTTGTAGATACTCTTGTAAATAACAGAGCAGTCTCTGGTTATGTTTGTTTTGAAGCATCTCACGAGATCGATGCGGAATAAGATGCATTCGTAACCCAAAGACCATGTCAATCTGGATCGTATTTTCTGTTACGTAAAACACGGAGTCAAGATCAATAGGAAGTGTGCTCATTGATCTGGGGCCTATTTTTCGGTTTTTCCATATTTCCAGTTTATCATGTGCCACAGAATCTAGGAGAAAGCGTACGACTAGGTAAAAAGAGTAGTCTAAGTTGTCTGTACGTAAACTGGATATAATGTGTGGTCGAGCTATCCAAGTACTGTGGATCCTCCTTAACCCCCTCTTTGCCTCTCTCAAGCTATGATCAGAAATGTCGCGTGTTGAACAGCTTCAACTGGTCCTGTCTGGTCAGTTTGACACATCCGACTGATAAACCTATCAGTCCCATTTTAGGCTTGAGTGCTACCGGCAAAGTGATTCAAGTGGACGCGGACCTGGACTCCCAAGTACAAGATGCGCAAAGGTCATCGTCAAACTATCGACCACATCGAATAGACGTATATCAGGAACATCGGTCCGATCCGAGTGCTTTCGATGCGGAATTCCGCCGTCCTCAAACTTCCGAAGTGTCTTATCGCTTGGTGGATGATGCGATTACTATTGCATCAACCAAGCCAGACCCTAAGCTTCCCAACCCAAAGGTATGTTTTAAAAGTAGTGATGCTCTTTGTAATGTTTGCGGTCACCGATAATCATCGATTCGGCTCTTTAAAAATGCTTTTTTGCAACTTTTTTGACCAACCTTTTGTTCTTCTCAAATGAAATCGAAGTTCTAAGTTCTTTACCACCATGCATTTTGATGCACCCCTTGTGGTTCTTCAGTTGCCTAGAATAAGCGATCTCAATGACAGTTTGCACTGTGAACACTGTCTGCTATCCCATTTTTTATTTTACATTTTTGTGTGATGAACAGCAGACGGGGCGAACACCATAGTTGCGTATACCTGCTATTCAATGATGGAAACCGGTAACCTAAGTCCCAGGATTTGGAGTGGCGAACCACATAAGGCCGCTCTAGGATAGGCATGATATTGTACTAGCAAAGCTGCCTACCACCAAAGTTGAGTGATGGTGATGGGGTTCAAATATCGGACCATAGGGTCCAAAGCACACCGATGACAGCGACTAAACCACTGGACCACCACCGTCCATATCGCTCTTCACAAAACATAAACGAAGTGCATCATAAGCAATAAGATAATGTTCTTTTTACTTTCATTTGTTATTTGGACAATTATAAAGTCTACATTCAACATGAGAGAAGAGGACAGTTAAACGGTTTATGAAGGGTGATTTGAAAGTGCTGGTAATCACCGACTTATTGCCCCAAGGGGCGTGTATTTGAATCCCACCATCACCGTCTGATTTTCCCTTGTTGTCTGTGTTTCGTATGACACCCCTCCGATTGGCCACTTCCAGCTTCTCAAAAATTTTATCATCGTCTAATCAGTGGAAGGGAGCAAGATAAAAAGACTACAAGATTAAGTTAGGTGGTAGTGTTGTTCAAATTCGAACGCGTTATCTCCGTTTCGGTGAGAAGATGACCTACATCACCAAACTTTTGTTTTACTAGTTGGTATTCAATACTGTATTCTACATCATTCCAAGTTATGCATCACTTCATCCCAGTTTTTCTTAAAAAATTAGCTTGAAAATTGAATCGGTTTTTTTCACGTGACGTGAATTGGCCCAAAGCCAACATCATCCCAGAGTTGGTAGAACTTTCAAACCTGTCACGAGTTTCCGGTCTCTCATCATTTTGCGGTGTGCGCTTGCAAACGAGCGTCGAAAAGCCCTAATCATTGTGCACTAAAATCAGAGTATTGTTATCACCAGGTTTGATAAAGGTTCGGGAGTTGTGATCCTCAAAAAATCTAATTAGTTGTCACAGGTCAAGGTAATTGGATGACGGGTCAAAGTTAAGCGATTAAGCAGACAGCATTACATTAGTTGAGTATCAACTCTTTCGATGACTAGAGCGTACTAACTTCTTTAAACCGAAACGTGTGATCTTCTCAGGCGTTCACACCCGGTCTTCGGCTAGCTAGAGCGGACTTGTGCTGCCGTAGATTGGCATGACGACTTCAAATCGTTGTTAGTGTATGCCTAGTCGATCGGATCCGGTCTTTGGTGGTCCCCTAGAATTTCACTCACCTTTCGATGCTTAGCCACTCCATGTCCCGGAGCTTAAGTTACCAATTTCCATGCCTGAAAGTGGGTCCTTGTGATTATGCTTTTTGCCCCGTACATAAAGGCGTGTACTGAAAAAGGATCCAATGGAATTTCTCCCAGTGATTTTGTTCATTTCATTGGTCGCAAGAATTTGAATGCTGGAAGTCTGTTATATAATGCAGACTACTGTTTAAAGTCAAAGGTTTATTATGGGCGTTTTAACAAAGCTAAAGCTTATTATGCCCCATAGGATTTTTACAGAATGTTTTGAATAACTTCACAAAGAGAAAATAACAATGATAATAATGTGTGATCACTCACGGATGTTGAAATTTTAAGTGTTCCAATGCCGTATCAAGTTGCGATTTAAATAGTTCAACTGTAGGAGCACACACTACATCAGATGGGAGA